GGGTCATGCCCCACAGGCATGTAAGCAAAGCATGGCTTAGAATAAGAGGTCGTTACAAATTCGTCCACCACAAACTCCACTTCACCTTATTCCATTGGTTCTTAGCAGGCGTCTTCGTTGATAAGTTAGCTTTTTGTTTCATTCTTCGATGTAACCCATGTAAATGTGGCATCTACGCACAAACATTTGAGTTCTGATATGGACTGCTTGTGAAAGATTGACATTTCCATTGTCCCCAGTAAAGCAGAAAACAATAGCTGCTCCTTACTACATTTACGAATCATCTCTCATTTGTGCATGTTTCTATTTTCAGCCGACGTCTGGCATTGTAGGAAACACCACCGCAATTGTCGTCTCCCTATCCCTCCTCCTGCTTGTAGGCTTGGTCGTTGTTGGCATCCTGATAAAGAAGAAGAAGCCAGATCTTTTCAATTTCCATCTGACGAGGCCGGTGAGTTTCGTTTTTAACTGTTGGCCAGAGTGATGCCCCCCCCCAAAAAAAGGAACATTAAACTGACTAAAGATCATCAACCTACGCGGCCAGCGAAAGGTGTCCGACAAGCTTGAAACATTTATTCTTAATAGTATTCGACTCTGACCAATCAGGTGGATTCCGCATGAATGGAAGCTAGGAGCGCAATTCCTAGTTGGCATCGATGCGGATGCCGATACTCCGTGGCCTATTAGCTGACGCCAGCTAAAAGAATGTCCTGTTGAGAGCGAATTTGAATCAATTCCAGGAAATAATTTTCACCGTCTTTAGATACACTTTCTTAAGGCGATATGTTAAACAAACGTAACTGTCTCCGATGCTAAAGAAACAGATGGTATCTTGGGATTTTAATTCGGACGAAAGGAAAATGCTATTTTCCGTTCGCCCAATCGTAATTTTTATATAAACTGCCGGTGGTGGAACAAAAATTTCCTTCTATCTGACGTTTCGGATTCACTCTCGAAGGCATCAACTGCAGCACGACAAATAGATTTACCGGACACACCGGGGATGCAGTTGCTAGGGGACTTCACTCATTGGCAGGTTGACCATTTTTGACCATACCCACCGCGTGCTCCATAGCAGGGTGTTGCAAAGACGAAGCGTGAATTAGTTCCAAGTAGTAGACTTGCGTTGCATTTACTACACTCTCTCTTCTCTCATCTACCTGGGCCCGGTGTCAAGTCAAAATCAAGAAGACCGGGATTGCGCGGGATCGGGCGCAGACGCCAGTAGTTGTCAAGCCTGACTCAGGTCCCACTGAAGGGGAGTGTTATAAAGGCCAAGGGATATTGATACCTGAGCCTGCACCTATGCGTGCTCCCAACTACCCCCCCCCCTCCATGTTCGATATTTTTAATGGGAACGTGACCCGAATAATACCTGCCATGCCCTGATATGACCCCGTGTTAGTTCAGCGCATCTACCACGCGATCCGTTTAGGGGGCCGACTCCAATCACCAAATAAGAGTGGTGACTGCGCCATGATCGCAAATGCCCTTACTGGTAGATTAATGACTTGGTTGACCATATCTGAGTCAGTAATTGCCTCAGTTTTCTGGTGAATTCGGATCGTTGACTTGCCGACGAATTACGCCGTAGCTCAAGTAGGGTTACCGCTTCTATTAAGGCTAGTAAGGTTAACCCTGACAGCTGTGATCTTCCAGGCCCGGTTCCTTAGGAGAGAAGAGAAGACGGTGGGAAGGCCAGATTGTTAGGAACAATATATTGTGTACACAAGGGTTAGGAGAAAGTTGCCACTCGGTCCGGCAT